GAATCGCTGCCGTGCCAGAGTCGTGTAGTACGGCAGAGTTTGTCGAACTTAATTGCTTGCCGAACTTAATTCAAAAGTTTGATTCAGACGCCGTGCTTCTGCGTGCTTTTGTCGAACTTAATTCCTGAATTTAGTTCGGCACGGCACGACTTCTGGGCCTAAGCTATGGAAAGCCATAACTTTCGTATGTGGTTGTTTATCATTATTTGGTGTCGTTTCTTCATTATGTGTTGTAGTTACTTCATTGTGTTGTGTGGTTTCTTCATTATGTGTCGTAGTTACTTTATTATGTTTTGTGGTTTCTTCATTTTGTCTTGTAATGTAGTCCTGAAGTGACGTGTTTTTATCATGATGTTGTGTAATAACTTCATTACGTGGTGTGGTTTTATCGTGATGTACTGAGGTTTCTAAGTTATGTTTTGTGCTCTTGTCATGATGTAATGTGGTTACGCTGTTATGTTGTGTGGTATCTTCGTTATGTGGTTTGATCATCACGTGTGTGGTTTCGTCTTTGTGTCTTCTTGACTTCACTTCCGATACCAAGCTCTAGTACCCAGGCTTCTTGCTATCACGAACTGGTTAAACCAGTTTTTAGATGGGTCCCAGAGTAAATAACAAAAACTTTCATGAACCAGTTACTCCTCTAAATACCTGATCCATTAACAATTCAATATTATTATATTAAGCTAACCATTACCTCCTCAAAAAAAGTAACCAGCACATACAATTCATTTTTTACTTATTTTAAATGGGTACTGAATAGCAGTGGGTGGATGTTATAAAGTAGAATTTTATTATGTGAGAAAATACAGTACATCACTGATCCAAAGTGGCAAATCTTTAGAATGACTTAAAAATATTGTTATTGATACCGCAGTAGATCACAGTGTACCTAATCAATTTATTTATTCATTTATTTATTGTATTTATTTTAATTAAAAGTGATTTTTTTTACATGAAAAAATAATCAGTAAATGAGTCACAGTATTAACCTTGTTTTTATTAAGATTGCAAAGTGTTCATATGTGATTTCCACCGGGAATAATCTTGGGAGAGGTGGCTCTCTAAAGGTGCCAATGGTGCTACGCCATTCAAGAAGGAGATCCTGTGTCATTTCTGACGAATTGCCTATGCTGATATTGTGAAAGAGTACAACAAGGCTCTGGCAGATCTGGAGGAATGGGAGATATGGCTACTGCCAGAACTAAAAGCTGCTTGAACTTGGTTCCACGATACTTGGATAAGAGAGCACAAGGTATCAAGGGAACAGTTTATTACACATGTGCACTTTGCATTGTATAAGAATTAGGCATTCAAGGGTTGCAATAATAAGGACACTATATTTGCTATTTCTGCCACAAGTAAAACATTGCCTTGACTAAGTGTTAATGTGGCACAGATGGTGATTGCAACCGATAGTCAATTTGTTTTATACTGTTAAGAGGGGGGTACAAATCAAATAATAATTGAATTCTTATATTCGATGACCGAGTACATTAAAAAATAACATGACAAAAAATAACCAAAAATAACAAAAGTACACAAAAAAAGAAACTGTATCCACTGGGCTTACAAATCATTTATTTCTATAACTGAAGTGACTCTAACCTGCTGTGCTGTCAACCACATATTTTTTAAGGTATATAATATTTCTGTGAAGATATTATATCTTTTCTCCAATTTTCTTTTTATTAGCGGTGAGTGTGGGCATTCAAAAAGGATCGCTTTCTGTGTTCTGTGAATACTAATGGAGTTGAAAGGCAGAACAAATCCTTTAAGCATGAATACCTGGAAGGAAACAGAAGTGCGAACCTTAGTACCATGCTGACAATTCTGATTGAACAATTCCTACCTGACAAGTATACTAAGTAAGCTATAATGAATATCATTCTGTTAAAACTAACAATGGTTTTTATGGCCTTTGTATTAGCAAATATGCCTGTAGGAAATGAGCAACATTGTAGTTCCCCAGTTTACGCATAGGGTTCCATTACTTGGACGCAGTACCAATCCACAATTCTAGGTTCTGTGAAAATAACTGAGAGTGCAATGCAATGGACAAGCATGTCATACGAGGGATGAATCTTACCTTTTCACCCCAACCTAGAAAACTGTCTTAAATTGAACCTCCACTCCATCAACAATTAAAAATCTCTGATCTCAACTAAAGAAGTGTTTATTCAACTCTCCACTTGAAAATATTATTATGATCATTTGTAGAGAATTAACAAACTGACACTCAATATAAATTTACAATTATTACAGGTATGTTGAGCAAAACACAAGGTTGTCCAACAGCTACAAAAGGTATGATCTGGAGATGCCACCTTACCTACACAACAGACCACGACACACAGTACAACACTGTTTGGAAAAGATAGATTTAGCAAAATCCATCCCCCCTAACCATGTGATCTCTAAAGATGAAGGTCAGTTTGAAGTTTACAGCCAAACAGCTATACTAGATGTGTGGTACAAAGTTTCCTTTGGTAGACATGATGCAACACCATCATGTACGTGTAAAGAGTGGCAATGCACCTGTCTTCCATGCAAACACATGGTTGCAATATTCAGACATAAACCTGACTGGGGTTTTGACAATCTAAGTGAAGCCTATAGGACTTCACCCTTTTTCATACTTGATGAAGATCTCATCTTTCCCATCAACAATGCACTGCCAGTAACAGATGTTCCCGAAGAGGAGAGAATGACTGCTAGTTCTGAAGAAATTGATAATCTACTCAATGCCCATAAAGAAAACCTTCCCCTTCCCAAAGAGGAGAGCATGACAGCTAATTCTGAAGAAACTGGTAACCTACTGAATGTTGATAAAGAAAATCTTCCCATTCCCAGCCGTTTTAAGAAGACAGTAGCAGCTTAGTGCAGGGAACCCATGAACCAAGCAAAGTCTCTAACTTACATAGTCGATGATACTGATATACTTGTGCAGGTTAGAAAGAGCCTGGAACATTGTGTCAAGATAATGGAAAAATCAGCACTAAAGGCATCCAATGGTATGATTCTAGAACAAGAAGGCTCATCAAAATCTGCACCCAGGAATGCGCCAAAAGCTCAGCCAAAGAACAAACTTCTGCAAAAATGTTTACCTCTTGCAACACGCAAGAGCAAATATTCAGGCAGAGTCGGGCAGGTAGCAAACAACTTGAAACAGGGGTGGCATGAGGACCCCCTTAAGTCGATTGAAAATTTCAAGTGCAAAAAAGTGGAGCTAGAGGTAGAAATAGTAGGAGAAAGTTTGCCAGAAGAGTGCCATTCAATGCCTTTACCAAAAAGTCCTCCATGTTCACCTTCACAAAATTTCAATGTTCCTGTAATCACCACAAATGACAAGTCTCCAGATCCTGCTGTTACAGTAAAACCAGCAGTCACACAAGCACCAAGACATCAGCCTAAAGAATCATCCAGTCCTTTGCAAATGTTTAAACCTCTTCCGACAAATACTGGCAAAGTAACACAGGGAACAAGCAGCTTGAAACGGGGAGGGCAGGATATGGCACTCCACTCTCCTGTCAAATCCAAATGGGCCAAACTAGATGTAGAGACTGAAGTAAAAGGGGATAACCTGTCAGAAGCTAGTCATCCACTGGCAAGCAACAAGAAGGACAATACAGTGATCATAGACGAAAACTCTCCTGATCCTGATATGTGGATAGATTACAGAGACCAAACAGCAGGAAATAAAATAACACTTTATGCTGACAGTAAAAAACTAATCTTGAACCCTCGTGGTTGGCTTCATGACTCAGAAGTAGAGGCTGCTCAAAAGCTCTTAAAAATGAAGTTCCCTTGGTTGACGGTCTGGAAGACCCAGCCATAATTGGAAATTTGGTGACAACTGCAACAAGTGAATTTGTGCAAATAATCAACACTGGTTTACACTGGGTGTGTTCAGCACACTGTCATGCCCTGTTGGTGTCGTTAAAGTATATGATAGCCTGTTTGGAAAGCCCAACATTAAAGCTATTCGGCATGCCTGCAGAATGTTGCTACACAGGGGGAAATCAGTGCAAATCATCAATGAGAAAGTTCAAAAGCAGCAGGGCTCAAATGACTGTGCACTATTTGCCATAGGCTTTGCAACCACTTTATGCCACGGCAACAATCCCACCATAACAAGATATGACCAGAAAGCCATGCATAATCACCTGGTGGATTGTCTAGAAGCACTGGATATGATAGAGTTTCCAACAACAGAAAAAAGAGTGCCACTTGTTCTTGTTCCAGTGTCAAGCAAGACTGTTCCAGTCTGTTGCACATGTCGACTTCCAGATGACAATGCTATGTATGTCCAGTGTGATGGCCATTGCGGTGGATGGTATCATCCAGCTTGTGCTAATATTCCACAATCAGTAATCCGCAACACAAACAAAAGGTGGATGTGTTTTAAATGCCGTAGTGGAAAGTAATAGCTTCGTTACCTTGGACCAACCAAAAAAAGCTATGTGCAATACTGTGAAACCTCCACGTATCAGTGAAAAGAATTGTTTCTTAATGATAGAAAAGCACCATTCGAGAAAGGTTCATCATATGACAGATGATGAGTAATATTTAATTAACACTGCATGAGGCAGTAAGCAAATTATAAGGATGGAGCAAGAAATAAAAGTCATAGTCATTTTAACCTTTTTTAGATGTCATTTTATCCTGTAATTGATGCGAAAGCTATTCAACAAAGAATCACAAGTCTTGTTAATTAGTCCTGGTTTCCACTGTAATGTAGGTCTGCCACAATATGATCATTTTAAGCCAACAAAAATTTATGTAGTACATGTCTATCTTGCCTTTAAAATAATAGGGAAACTCTTTACATTTTCCACACTTTCCAGACGGGATTCTCAAAAATTAATCTTTGTTAAAAGATGGGATTCACAGGGAAATTTTGACAAATATTAGAATTTCTCCTCAAACCCCCTCTTCTCCATATTTATTTAATGACCAGTCCCTAAAATTAATGGTCTAAATAAACCTGTAAGGCAAGAAATGCCAGAAGGAGAAAACTCAGCCGAACGTTGTATGTTGTGATACCAAATTTTTTTCCACTGGCCACACCAGCTAAATCAGATGGCCCTTTTTCTCAACACCAAAATATTTAACAAGCAGTTAGTCTTATCTTTAATACAAAAGACCATAAAATTATTAAGGGACCTCTCATCTATGCTGTGTGAGAGATAAATCACATGCCCCTTTTTCTCCAAACCAGAATAACTCTAAGTTCAGCTTAAGTTAATTATATTATTAAGGGCCCTCTGGTCTTATTGCTCTAAGGGAGAAATCAGATGCCTTTTTCCCAACACAAAAATAACTCTGAAGTCTTAACCTTAAATTTAATATGACAGGCTAAAATTATTAAGGGCCCTATGATCTATGCTACACGGGAGATAAATCAGAGGGCCCTATTTCTCAAGGCAAAAGAAAAACACTTAGCTAGTAAATTAATAACCTACCTTGCATGTTTTACCCATCAGGATGCATCTTCTACATAACTTAGGGAGATATTACGCGGTGTAAAACACGCAAAATATGAAGTAGATTCAATTCATCGCCCAAATACAAACTCGACCAGCGACGCCATTTTGTTTTTGCCTACAACCACTTATTAGCTTCTCATTCAATAAAAATAGCAACTATTGTTATATACCTCGTTCTTGAAAGCACACCGGCACATGTAAATAAAGTGGCCGGGTATTCTGAAGTTGCTCCATAGTCGCACGAAGATGAATTCAACGATCGTGACACTCGGTCCCAGTCTCAGAAGGAAGAAGGGTCTTCTCGTCTATATCCCTTCAAGATCAAGTCACTACCTGCGGAATTTGACTTCTCTGCGTACTTCCCCACGGATTTTCGAATAAAAGAGAGACTGCTCGCAGTCTATGCCAGTCTTTGTCATGACGCATAGAATTGTTACCTCACGTCACTCGTGCATCATGCTCATTTTCATCGTAGTGTTGTACCTTGAGAGCGTGCTGACAACGTGCATGGAAGGCAATAACCAAATACAACGTTATTTGATTTCATCCGAACCTCCGTATGACAACTATTACAATATTTCCAAGGCCGTTTATCCCTCTGTGGTTCCCCCATCTTTGCTGATCGATATTACGGTGACATTCCTGGCAGCAGCGGATAGCAATGGAACTCAAAGAGGTCCGTTTCCAAACAACAATGCTGGTAGAGCCGGTATGAACAGTTCTAAGCAGAATGGGTCAGATTCTCGTCCAGCTGGAGCCAACACAACATGGACATATAAGTGGAGTAAGTCGTGTTTGTATGTCAGCGGAGGAAATATCACCTTACCTTCCATGAATATTTTTTCCTTGTGGGCGATTTGGCCAAACAGGCGGAAAAGGGAGCTCTACATAACTTTGCCGCAGTTCTGCAGTGGCTATCCCAGTGACCCCCCTCTACACGATGCCATGTTATACTTTCTTTCCACGGTATGATCTTATTAGTTTATAAGTGAGTGTGCTTGCTGTCAATAAGCGCATCTTATTATGAAACTTGCATGTATCTATCTATCTATCTATCTATCTATCTATCTATCTATCTATCTATCTATCTATCTATCTATCTATCTATCTATCTATCTAGCTAGCTAGCTAGCTATCCATATATATATATACTTCTTGAACTTGAACAGAATAAATTTATAGAGCGCTTGACTCTGAGAGGAGCAGTGTAGATAATAAACAATGGTATCAAGGCTTCAATTCATGGTTTTATTACGACAACGCTGATAGAGTCTAATTCGAAGACAATTCATTCGACAGCAATGGAGAACACTCTGATGTCTACACAAAATCAACATCATGTTTGAAAGAAGTGCCTTGGAAATTCATGTATAGTGCGTTTGAGAAGGGAGACTGGGACTGCCTTAGCCATGAGTGTAGAGAAACCAACCATAACCAACCTTTGACTGAGTTAAGTTATTTGGGAATTTTAACCAGATTTCTAAAAAATAAACCTAGTTAACTGCAGCTGCTAGTTATTCTAGACACAACACTGCACGAATTCATGAATTTCTTTGCATTTTGCTCACTGATTAAGTAGACTTCATCCTGTTATCTTCTAAGTTTAATTGTTTAAATCAGGAGCCCATATTTTCTAGAAGGAAAGACTAGGGGGTCCAGAAGGGGTCCAGAAGGAGGTCTAGAAGGGGTCCAGATGGGTCCAAAAGGGGGTCCAGTAGGGGGTCCAGATTGAGTGGTCCATGTTTTGTACCGACCCGTGGGAGGTGTGCGCTCTCACCACTGTGCCATCCCTGCTCCCCAATAATGTCCATGAGCTCCTGGAAAAATGTGTCGGGAAACTGTTCAAGAAAATTAGTAGCAATAGTTCTCAAAGGGTCCTCCCTCAGATTAAGATGCAGCACTAGTCAGTTACCCTAGATAAACACTGAATGTTTTAAAACTAGTTTTTTTTTAGTAGTCTTTAAGTTTAAATACACTTAAGCAATATGAGAAATTCTTCCTGTAAGCCCTTATTTAACCCTTTTCAAAATTTATGTAACGTTTGATATGTACTGTATCAGATGAATAAAGACATTATTATTATTGTAAGTAATAACAATAATAATTATTGTTATTATCATTATTATACAGCAGTAAAAACTTATGCATGCTATATGTGCAGTTATTAAATAGTATGACGGGGCGTGTGAGTAACCCATTACATTATTATTAGTAGTATTATTATCATTATCATTATTATTGTGCGTCTATTGGGCAAGTAATATTTTAGTGTTGGCAACTGAAGACTGAAATGTACTCACCCACCGGGCAACTGGATTCCAATTTTTTTTCTTGCCCTGGATTATGAACAATGAGAAAGCTACATCACCTGGAGTGGGATTGAAGTGGGGATAATTTAGTAGATTCTAAGATAACCCCTTGCCTATTTCTCTCAGGTACATGAATAAATTTCAGATCCTCATCCTTATGCAGTTACACTGCAGACGTTCTTATGAAGTATATATTATTGTTTTGTAGGTGCAGGACATAGCAGTAATACCAAGTGTTCCTGATCCACGACTTAACACAGCAGAGTGTGTCATTGCAGGCCAGGAGAAGGCTTCACATTTTTCAGGACTGAAACAGTTGCTACATGGAGTGTGTTGGAGCTTTTTGTTCATTAGTTTAGTCATGAGTCAGTTTGTATCAATGCACATAATAGTTAAGCTACAGAGTTGGGATAAAAGTAAGGATAAAGACAAAATTGCAGTAGTAATGTCTTGGTCTTTGTTCATTTTTGGTGCAGGAATATTCTTAAATATTTATGCTTTCAAAACATCGACTGTTCAACAAGATTTGTATGTGCGTGTATTTTTTGGATTTGTGCTGTTTGTGCTTTTTCGGCGGTCTATTTATTGTATGATTAAACACCGCAGGAATGGTACATGTCATGACCTATTTAAAAACTGGGACTTAATATCGGGTCATGATGAAGATACAAGCAAAAACATTCATTCTTGTGTTTTTCTTTACCCAGCAGTATTCATTGCATGTCATCACGTACTGTGGATTTTGCTTGGTGTAATAACAGAGCCTCTTTGGGGTAGTACAGTTTTAGTGGGTATTACTTCTTTTTTTTCTGTTTTTTCTTTCCTGCTTCGTGACTTCTACAAGGCATTTCCTTCTCCCAAAAATACTCAGTTGTTTTACATGGCTCTGATTCTTATCTTAGGTGGTTCCTTGGCATTCGTTCTGTTATTGCTTGTTTTGCTTGTGGTGGCACAAGGTTTCTTTGGTGAGAGTTTGATTTCTGCTGTTATTCAAAATGGTTTGGTTGCAATTGCTACTGTTGGGTTTGGCTATCTGAAGGTTGGAAAAGAAAGCGGTGGTGGTGGAGGAGGAGGGGGAGGAGGAGGAGGAGGAGGAGGAGAAGGAGCAGGAGCAGGAGGCAGTAGTCCTGAAGAAGGAGTCGCATTGCTGAACATCTCGAATGCCAACAATAGAAAATGAAAACTCAGCTCTGATTAATTAGGGAGTTTAAGAAAACCACGGCGGCAACGGCAACGGGAACGTCGCTAAACAAAAGGCTTCATAAGTAGAACAATGGCTGTGCACGTGCGTTACAATTCTTGGTACATTTCTTTGCCGTCTTCTGCAAAACGACTACGTGAAATGACCAAATTCTGCGTTGTCCAGAGAACGTGAACCCCGACGGCTAATTTTAATTTTCTTTTTTTTTATTTCAAATGTTTCGCCCTGTGCCAGATTCAGTTTCGTAAAAGGTTTGACACTAAGAAACAAAGTAAATGACTTTACAGTATCGCGAGATTCGTAGGTAAAATGTAAAATCATTTTTTGATCGACTATGTCCTCGGCGTCGCGTCCTGATTTCTTGAACTCCCTATTAGCCACTGGAAGCTGCGGCAGTTTTATAAACTACTATAGTCCTTAGTAGGCCTGTTGTAGATAAGCTGAGTCACATGGATTTTATTCATTGACTTTAGTTACTACTTGTGTCGAGAAATGAATTAAGCTGAATTTGCGCATTACGTAATTGTTAATTTTAGTTTGTTCTGTAGCCGGCCAAGGTAATCCAACACGTATTTATATGCCTTTTGAGTCAAAAAAGAGCTAGAGTTTGATGTCTGTTAATAATGAGAAGGAGAAAGTGAAGAAAATGCTAATTTGTAGAAAACAAGATATAGTGTGAGTTTTGCATTGTGGTATTGTAAGTTATGTATTGTAAAATTTTTATGAGTAATGTATAGTTAGTATGATAAAAAAAGTCAATAACTCAGTGTGTAGCTTATCAAAAACTTCTCAGATACTTAGATCGACGTAGAAATTACGTATAAAAAGATAAAAAATACGAATCTTAACAAAAAGGAAAACAAGGTATTTGTATTTGATCCATCTTTGTTGCAAGCCGCTATTAAAAATCTGAGAAAGCTCCTGTTGCAAAATGGTTACCCTCAAGGTGTTATCACGTTCAACATCAACGATGCGGGAGGCAGCTTGGCCGAGTGGTCAGCGTGTCGGACTCGCGATCCAGCGGTCCCGGGTTCGAGTCCCGCTCTGACCACTACCTGGATTTGTTTTTTGGTAGCCTCGATTTCAAATTCTCGGCCACGCTTGTAAATAGCCAACTGGTTTGCCTCCGGCCAATTGGGATTCTTAACAATGTTATGTTCAATATAATTTACATAATATATGCAGCGCGAAATTTGACGGGTTAGTTGTTTCGTAGGAGGGCTTTGTTTCTGTGGCGGCAAGATGATACGAGTTCATTACGTTTGTTAAATAGCTCGGGTTGGCAGATGATAAGGAATTTTTCTTTAAGGCAAAGGTTACATCTTTTGCTTGAGCTGTT